AGGCTTCCAATCAACTTTCTGCATTCTAAATATATGTGAAGCTTGATGAGTTTTGCAAGATTTTCCCCTCAAATAAGAAATTGCTCAAAGTGGATGGATGGATGGATGAACGGACAGATGGATCAGTCAAAGGATAAACACATATCTATATTTGCCCAAATGTTCACAAAACGTTCCCAATAACTTTTCCAAGTTTGACATTTCTAACCTCAAATAATGACCTAATGGTCCCATCGCAGTAAAGGAAGCCGTGAAATCTAATATTCTTTATTATATAGGAGGAAGAATTTATTACAGGAAATATTCTAAGAGTAGAATATAGGTGGGTCACCACACTCAGTATCTTATTCTTGTCAAAAGAGTCAGATTTTTTATGAATGCAAACAATTGTAATGGCAACTTTATGTCTCATCTTGAAAGCATCTGATGACGTAGGCTGTAGCTTATAAAAGCTTATGCCTTTCTGAATGAGTTAAGTCTTGAAGGTGCTACCCTGCCCTGCCTTCTGTCTGGAAAATATTATATTTGTAGAGTACCAAGCACATTGCGGATGCTCAGATTATAAATAATACTATCAGTTATCTTTAGAACCAGAAGAACTGAAAACTCATTTTTTAATTAAAAAAATATGAATAAAGTCTATTTATTCATCATTATATCACTTGACATTATTATTTTAACATATAGGTCATTTTTCCCCTGGCATAAGTGGAACCTTTGACTTCATTAGACTGGAGACTGCTTATATCAATTAGACTGCTTATATCAGTGATTTTGCCCAAATAAATATAGAGATCTATATGTACATAAAAAAACCATAACAGATGGACTAAGGCAATGTGCCATCAACAGCATACATTTTGGAAAGGAGGTACCTTATTTGACACAAACAGCTGAAGCATGTAGAAAGCATTTCACAGACATCTGGTCCTTCTAAGAAAGGCCAAATGGACTGGAGTTACTGGCATTGGCATTTGGCCAGAGCATCTGACCTTAGATCTCTTGAGCACATTTTCATAAACTACTTCCTGTCCTTGTAATGGCAGGACGCTGGCAGGGCCCCTGTCCCTCTGCTTTACCTGTGGTAGGTTAAAGGGTGTTTTTGGTGTTTTGGCCATTATGCCTGGCATTTGTAGCAGAGGATTGTTCCCAAAGTTTTTAAGAATAAGTCAGGCAAACACTTGTCTAGGATGGTTTACTTAGACAAGTGCAGGGAGCCTGGACTAGATAACTTCATGAGGTCCCTTCCAGCCCTACCATTGTATGATTTTATTATTCTATTTGAATAGACCCCTATTTTGACAGCCATTATTATGAGATCATTAGTGGACAGTAGAAATCAGATCTTTGATTTTATATCTAATCCCATATGGGACTCCCCAGAAGCCCAAAGCCCATTAGTAGCTGATAAGAACATGGACTGACTCAGAGAAAGATCGACCCCTACTGTAGGGAGCACAAAGGACACCCCGGCATGTTCAGCACCATGCCTTACAACGCCCAATTTTAACCTTGGAGGTCTCCCATCTGAAAGAAGGTCTCCCACCTACACATCCCATTGTGACATGTAGCAAGCTCACAGCCTGGGATGAATTCATTGCACACCATAGGAGCGATGAATAGCATTAATACAAAAATGAATATATTCATTTTAAAACAAGTGGAACAAATAAGGCTAGAACTCATTAGCCAACGTGCTTGTCTATTCCTTATACATTAAGGGACTGAATCTCTCATTAATACAGAGAGTTTGGGCTATAATTGATGCATTGATCTGAATTCCTAATGTTGAGAGTTGGGCACAATACCTTTTTCCCATACTGGTAAAGTTTCTCTCTGTAAGGATAAACAGCTACTTACCTGTGACCACTAGAGGGCACAGTCACACTCAAAATATCATTTTGGAAATACCTGGGAACAAAACCTGGCCCATATTTCATATAGATCTGTATCCAGATCCCATCCCAAATGTTCAGGGTGTCTGGATCCAGGAGTTGGTTTGGCCCTTTATAGAACTGGGGACAAAATTCAAAATTACATCTTAGGTTCTGGTTACTAACTCCAGAAGCTGGGAAGTGTATGGTAAAAACCCATAACTCCAGTAATTAAGAGGGAATTTCCTACTTCCTGGGCTGGCTTGGATGTCCAAATGATATCCAAACAAGAAGGCCAAAGACAGTCGAGCATCAGTCAAGGTAGTCCTGCATTTAGGCCCTGATGCCCCACTTTAAGCTCATGTGTCATCTCACTGAAGATACTGTGTGACAGGAAGCACCTTTGTGAGGTCAGGGGCTACTCTCATATAGGCCCAACCTCACTTCTGCAGAGTACAGCATTGGTTGGATGAAACCCTTACAACGTATGTCCTGCCTTGTTTAGTTCCCTGCAGAGAACCCAGATCTCTTAACCAGAGTTGGAATTGCAGTTCCCTTGGAGTAAGGCAGAGACAGAAAGGAGGGAAGCCAGATAAAATGGCTTTCCAAGGTGAGACCTTTGATATTTTATCCATTTCTTCTATTTCTTGTTTTAAAAACTTCTTTAATGTGCAGAACATGTTAATTCGCTCTACAAGCTCTACCACAGATCTTGGGCAAATGACTTAGCGGTAGATTTCCAAAGGCACTTAGCTGCCTAACAATGCCACAAAGTACCTAGTGGGATTTTTAAAAGCCCTGAACCAATGTTTATAACGATAGAGTCAGACACACAAGGCAAAGGTCCACCCAAGCCTAAAAGGCCCTATCAAGCCAGTATTGTTTGAAGTTCATTAGCCAAGGGAACACTGGGGAAAGATGGGGTTAGCATCACATATGGTCCTTCACTCCCTAACCCCAATAGCAAGGTGCCCATCTTAGAGTCTGGATGATTTAGGCAGGGATCAGCACAAGTCTGGATGAGGGCTCAAACTATGTCTCTCTGCTACAGCAATGAGCTAGAGGTGAATACATCAGCAACTGGCTAATAAACAGTTCTGGAAATCTCACTAGTTAATGGTCTGTCTCTTCATGTGGCTGACTACCTTTGAAAAGCTAGCCCTTAGTTTCTCTGTACCTCAGGCAAAATGGAAATAATAGTTCACTTCTGCCACCTTTGGTCTATCTATAAACTTTGGTCTATCAAGTTTTGGGGGTGGGCGCAGTGAAGCCCTGACCTCTGTTCCAACGCCTTGGTGCTGTTCTCTGTAGGTGTTTTTGTAGATCCTAGGGCAGGGGTGGGCAAAATGTGGCTCGTGGGCTGGATGCGGCCTGCCAGGCAATTCTGTCTGGCCCACAGTGCCCCTAAAAATTTAGAAATTAATGTTTATCTGCCCCTGACTGCCTGTCATGCGGCCCTTGATGGCTTGCCAAAACTCAGTAAGCGGCCCTCCGCCCAAAATAATTGCCCGCCCCTGTCCTAGGGCCTAGGCCCAGAAATAAGTAGTCATTGTGTCTGAACATGGTGAGCCTAATTCTATTCCACCTATTAGGCGTGTAAGTGGACTTAAGTGCCTACGTGTTATGATATTCCATCCTGCGCAAGGCCCTGCAAAAAAAATTAACCAAAAATGACTGGATCCTCCTCCTTGCTGCTTTTTTGTTATTTAATCTTTGGGCTTAGATGCTGCATGCTCTTAAAACAGATGCATTCATGGTTTTCAGGACTTGAAGGAATATAATTGCATAACCGATAGTTAAATCCACATGCACAATAAAATCTACCCAGAGCCTTTCCCTAGCACTGGAATTTTGCCTTCCATATATACCAATTCCTGTACCAGAAATTCAGTGCAAAGAGGCTCCCAACAAGCTCTCCAGAGCCTCTGCTATTCAGATAACCACAAATGCATTTTCCTTTAGGAAGCTGTTTCACACATCACTTCAATGATCATACCTGAAGTGTGTTAAATGTCTCTGGATATCAAGGTCTAATATTGGAGTTGGTCTGGAGGATCCAAGGGGCGATCTGTCTTGACTCAGCAGGTCCTGGAATTCTTTACATATTTGCCTAAAAGAAAAGGGAATCATTTAAAAAGGGCTTGACAGCCTTCTCGTAACCATTACATTTTACAACCTTTTTCACTCAAGCTCTAGACCAGAAATATTTAACAGAGTGGAATGAGAGAAGATAGTCTACAGGGGAAATATGACCAGAAACTGGTGCAGGACGTTGCTAGTAGGATCTCCAGCCCAGTCTCTCTGAGGCCCTGTCTAAAGCAGGGAAATAGATAATGTTTGAAACCAGGTTAGCTTCAATGCCATTAATGTGATTTTCCATCTAGTGTAAATGCAGGCTCACACCTTTAAAAAGTGTCTGAGATGATGGAGCAATCAGTCGTAGAGGTGTTAAACTGGGTCAATGCTACAAGCCGGGTTTGGTTTGAAGGCCTGTTAAGTCAACACTTAACATAGCCTATGTCAATGAAGAATTTGGATGGATACTCTTCTTGTGTGCAAGATGACAACCGTTGTGTAGACCGACTAATTGTTCATCTAAGGGCTAACCTGCTCTCTACTTATTTGACAACACCGTGCCTCCGTTTCCCCATCTGTCCAATGGAGACAGTAATAGTGTACATGCTTTGAAAAGCACCACCATATTTTCTCACATAAAATATGCACCCCTCCACCCAGAAAAAATGCTGTTGGCAATTGGGGTATGTGTTATATCCAAGAAATGTGTTAAGAACAGGATCTGCCATTTAGTGGTTGAAACTGAAAGTAAAATCTTCAGTGATCCACAGGCAGCAGAACAATGAGCAGGTTCAGCTCCCTAGCTGCCATTATTTAGATACATAGTACAAGGACCCATCTTATTTTCTTTATTCTGCCTTTAAAAATAAGGCTTGTATTATATTCTGGCGTGTGTTGTATGCTAGAAAATATGGTGTATGAAAGCAAGGTGCTAGTATCATTGACCAGCCACTAAAGGGAGATGTACAAGTGTTTAAAAAAAATCTCATTCTAAGGCAATGATTGACTTCATGGGTCATCTACAGTGTTTGCAGATGGGAACTTCAATGCCACAGCTACCTTAAGCTAAAGGGACAACTCCAGTAGCAGTTTGGATAGCAGTAGACTGCTATCCTCTCAGCTAGTGGTCTCATCTAGTCTAACTTCGGCAAATAGGTACTGGAAAGTGAACCTTTTATTTTTTTTTTTTAGGGTTGTAACTCTGAGAGACAGCCCTGGACATACTGCAACCCTCCAGAACTGGGAGCATTCAGCACCACTTCCAGTTTTGGTTAGAGAATAACACTTCAGTGCATTGCTGTGGGTGGGCTAATGAGCTGCCTGGCCTGGGCACGATGCCACACCAACCAAGTGGGAAGGAACCAGGAGCAACCCCTTGGCCTGGATACAGTATAATTACAAGCTCACAGTAACCTGTCAGAACTGTACTGTGTCTTCTGATTCAGCAGGATGCTGCCTGACAACACGGGAATGTTACAGGGGTCGGACCATTTTTCCAAATTCAGGACAAAACTCTCATTGTGGGGACTCTTCAGGACACAAGGGCAGAGTCCTGAATTCCAGGACAGCCCTGGAAATCTCGAGATGTTCATTTGTTTTAGGGCAGGGAACCTGGAACTGCTAGATGACTTGTTCAAAGGATCGCATTGATGCCAACTCATAGCCAAGTCGATTATCTATCCCTTTTCTTGGTAAAGTTATGCAGGCATTTATGTAAAGACAGCATATATTTTAATGAATCTGCCTCATAGAGGGAAAACAAATCCTTTTCACACTAGCAATTAGTCAAACACAATGGCTTACAAATGCTTTCCTGTATCCTGTAGGCCTGTCCATGGTATTTTCCAGACCCTTCTTCCAAATCCCATCTATTGGAAAGGCTCAGCTTAAAAGATGTTGCATTTTGACTATGGGAAGTACCAGAATGGACCCAAGTGCTCAGCTAATCTCTCTTCCTTTCTGGCATGGTAAGAGTACATGAAGGAAAAGAAGGACACCCCCATGTTATAAATGAAAACTAAGAAAAAGCATCAGCTCACTCTGACGACTCTTTCCAAGGAGCTCAAAAAAAAATGAGCTAGGTGTTCCCCAGTTACTTGCTCTGGCAGACTGAATCATCATATTACCATATTTTCTCATATATAACTATACCTTTTCCCCCTAACACTATCTGGTAAAAATTGGGGTGTACATTATATGCCATACAAATGTATATCCACAGGTCTGGAAATTTGGGAGTGGGGAGTGGTGGCAACATTAATTGCCACAGCTCTGGGAACCAGGTCAATTAATACCGGCACAGCTCCCCCACAGCTAAACACCTGGATTCATGGGGGGCCCTCTGGCCAGATGGCATGGCCCTGTGCATTGACCTGATCTGTTGCTCATCATTCACAGGAAACCATTTTATTTAGTTAATTTAATCACTTTTGCCACACGTGGAAAAGTTGGGGATAGACTGTTACTTCTTCAAATTTTCTCTTAGTTCAAGATGTGAATTCAGGTGATAAGCATTGTGTTTGTAGTAATTCTAATTGCCTTCATTGATACAAAAACAGGTAGGAAGGAAGGAAGCAAGGAAGGACAGATGGATGGACAGACTCTCCGGGTAATGCATTCAAATGATGGGTGTGCAATGGAGTGGAGGATATAGAGATGATGGCCAAGCTTGCAGCTGTATACAGGGTGGTTGGCTGGTCTGAGGGACTCTACAGTGAGGTTGGCTGCTCTGAGGGTCTGACATTTTTAAAAACGGGGAGACTTTTAAGGAGTGAAGTCTGGTCATGTGCAAATAATTTAGGTTTCCACAAGGCCTTTGTGGCTCTGAAGCTCTGATGTTGTAATGGTTTTCATCAGTGTTTAGAGAGTTGAAAAAGCCCAGCAAGACTCTGATATGTTGATATTTTTTAAACTTGCTTTCATATCTACAGCGGATACCATTACTATGTCAGGCTACTTCCTCCCCACTTTTAGATAGTTGTATGATTTTCAAGCTCTGCAGATAAGCCCTGCAGAGTCTGATTTTCAAGCTCTGCAGTTATACTTCAATGTGGTTTCCTCTTCAAGGAAATGGATGGCTTACAACTTTCACTAAGACCCTTCACCTGTAATGCAAGTATAGTCACCTATGCCTTCCTGATTGTCACTGGGTAGCACCTCACTGTGGTTATTAGGACAGGGGTGGCCTTTTGTTCTGTGTTTATGCTGGATGCAACACAGTGGAGAACTACTCCAGAACAGGATTCCCAATTGATACAAGTCATAAATCAGAATTGGCAGGATTAGACACCAAAGTTTACTGCCACAGAAGAAACATCCTCTCCCCCTTGAGTTGAAGGAGACTCTTCAATATAAGCCTCAGCATATGAAATACTTGTGCTTTACTATGATTCTTATTGCAATGGCACCATAAGAAATGCAGCAGAACGTTCAAACTTTTTAGATTTTTTTTGACATTTCAAAAAAAAAATAATCAACATTTAGATTATTCTTAATTGTTTTAAAAATGTGTTCCAAATGATTACAAAAAAAATATGTAGACTTCCTTTAGAATTCCTTGGCCATTTTTTTCCTATTCATTTTTTTTTTTAAGAAAGAAAATCTTACCAGGTCTGTCAAGGACACCCAGTTCTGATTCAGTCCACCAGAGGGCAGTGACAATGCATCCACACAAACACAAGTTCATTCCATTCCTTCCTTAGATAAAGCATGTTTTTGTGTGTCTACTGCACCTATGCATTTCAATGTAATTTCTGAGAGCAGCACAATTATGCAGAGCTGCCCCGGTTTCATATTCTTCATGATGGACACTAGCATGGTGACTAGGTCAGCCGCAAGGCAAGAACTCAAAGTTTCCTGCTGCAAACGTGTAGGCCTCAGTGCTAAAAGGTGAATGCTTACTGTTAGTATAGCTATGGAGGCAACATTATATTACAGACCTATATATGATACCTGACATTGTAACATGTGGGCACCCAATAATATGAGAACTGGGATCTGCAGTTTACTAGTTCTAACTCCACCCAGCAGAGGGCAGTGATAGCATACACTCTTGCCAGCCCATTACACAACGTTAGTCATTTTGTACAATTGTACAATAAATGTTAGCTTTACTTTTTTAAACGTATTGTTAACTTGAGGCCACTGGTTAGTATTTTTTGCCCATGGAGGAGAAATATGATATATTATGTCTCTGCAAATTAGCAATTGATTTGTTAAGCTTTAGGCCATCTTTACATTTAAAACTTCTGTTTCCCTTCCCTTCTACCTATTTTTCCCCTACAGGTGTATACACACAATGTGATACATGAGTTAGGTTATAACTGGGACTATGCATCGGTGCAAGGGCATTAAATGGAAAAGATAGCCACTGAGAGCCTTCAGATAGCCTACCAAGAGTGAAGTGGGCACAAGATGGGATGGGATGGTAGATGGGATGGGAGTAGACTGGACAGATACTTAGGTATTCTCTTGTGGGCCATCCAGCAGAGTTAATCCCATCTGGGGAGGACAGTAATTTGCTGCTGGCATAAGCCAGTGACAATTTACCATGTATTTTCCTAGAGAAAGGAGAGAGAAGGGGCAAGCCTGAGGAGTGGGGCCTCCTGAGGCTAGTCCTCTGGTGACACAGCTCACAGAGACCGCCCTTTGCCGGGGGCTGTGCCTGGAGGCACAATCTACCCATTAAATACTCCAAGGTGTACACAGCTGTCCATGAGCTGTCCACGAGCAGCTTGGCATTGAAGCAACATCTTTGCTATTTAGTTATTCTGAAATTCATCGGGCTGTATCAGTGTCCAACAGGGGAAGCGCGCTGCTTATACTCTGCATTCATTTTGTCTCTTAACCTGCAGTTTCACCATGGGCTTAGTAGCTTGAATGCATGAATAAGATCCATAGTGAGATCCACACCTATCTTACCACCCATAAGACCCCATGCAGAGCACTGTGCTTCATAGCCCCTTGTGAGCACTAGCACATATTGTTCTAACATATCTCAGCTCTGCAAGGCAGCAGGGCTTAATAGCACTGGCTGCAGAAGGGATATGATGACATCTGATGGGTGCTCTAAAGGGCCGACAGATCCCCTGTCTAGCAGTACAAGAAAAATGATAACATGGGATGGGCATCAAACATAAGGTCCAACTAGTGTAAATCATATGTCTCCCTTCCAGTAGAACTGTTTGTTTTTTTTAACAGCATGGTCTCAGTAACAGCATGAGCAATAGACCTTGGTGACTAGAAAGCAGATTATATATGGTACATGCAGAAATGCTGGGAAAGTTAGGAGTATTAGGTCTTGGGCATCTCAGAAGGGCAACAGATGGAAAGCAGTGGATACTATGGGTACAAGCCACCAAATTAAACAGTAGCATGACTTAGAAAACAGGTTCCCTTATTCGACAGGGAGGTTGCAGGGTCTGGTGAGAACTGGATGTGAATGATATCACCTACAGATGTTTAGTGTTTGATACAAACTAGGATGCATATGCTGTGACATGAAGTGTTTTGCCTGGTCTATAAAGAGGGGCCTGGGACTCTGAATACTATGTATTGAGCTAGGGGCTGTGTTTTATGCTGGTGCCATGTAGCCAGATAACCTGGCTAGCACCTGGCTAACATGCCTGAATGTGCTTGATGTTAATACTGGGGTTGTTTGTGGACCTGGAAGAGTCCTTGGTACTAAAAACTGGAACCTGTGGTCTCTTTATTACAATGAACGAGGTTGTTAGGAGTAGCAGTAGCATAATATCACAGATGGCATCCCGATATCATGTGCACCGCCTGACGTGACTCACACTACTTCACCCCGATGGCGCCTACCAGAGTCCGACACCTGCAAAGACTTATGCTCTTCCTTCATTTCAGACAATGTGTAAGCTTTTTTCAGTTAAGGGCCGTCTTCAACTGTCTCTACATTCTCAACCCTCTTAGGCTCAAGGCACCCCTCAGAAAATGCCCACTCCTAGTTTTCACTTGTTTTTTGACTACCGAAAATAACCGAGCAGTTCTTCTATTGCAAAGAGCATCAAGGCAGAATGGTTTCAAACACTGTAGATTCCTATTTGAAATCTCTAGGATTATCTTGTGAATTGTGCTTGCATGCCTAACAGTGCCAACATTGTGTGGCACCCCATGGCACCCTTGAAAGGATCTTCAGGCACCCCAGGGTCATGTGGCTCCCTGGTTGAAAATCACTGGCTTAGCACAAACGGGTCCTCATCTTATTTGCTGTCTTTGGGCACTATTGTAATACGAATCATAGTAAACTACCAGTGCTCAGTATGAAAAGTATCCAGGCAGACATACAGTGTGGAATACTTTTTTTTCTTGCTTACTTTGTTGCTAAGATCATCTTTTTCCTTGCTGTTTGTTCTTTCTGTTCCATGTGCTGTCTGGCCAGATGCTCTCCTACTGCCTTGGCTGGGAACTCTGTTTCGCAGGTGTAGCCAAAATCCCTGGCCAAATGTAATGCTTCCCCTGTGGGTAGATAAAGTGGGTCAGTCAGGTCATAGGAAACATTTTTTTTCCCTAGTCGTACCCCACCGCTGCCCCCCAGGAGGAACAACAGGTCTTTTCAGTGTAAGTACATTCCTGATCTCAGTCACACTGGTGTGAGGGGGTTCACTTTCTGGCCCCTTAGGCCACTTATGGTTTGCATTACAATGCCACTTAGAGGAGGAGAAGGACATTTTAATAGTGAGCTTTTTAGGAGGAAGAACCAGGGTCAATTCCCTGCCCTGCCAGACTTGCTGTGTGACCGTAGGCAAATCACTTAGCCCTAGATCGTCAAGGGCAAGGATCAACCTATAACCTGTGTGCTGGGTCCAGCCCATAGAGCGGTTTGATGCAGACCGCAAAGGTTTAATTCAGCATGGGGAACTGGTGGCACAGAGCTGTGCCATGATGCCCATCCCTTCACAGTGCTCCCCTCCACTGCAGAGCTTGATGATGCACTGTGTCTGCGCTCATCCTTGCTGCAGGCAGGGTGGGGATCAGTAGAGAAGGTAAGCACAGGCTCCATCAGTGGCCTGCAACAGGGGCGAGTGTAGACATACAGTAGCCATTTTGAAGATCTGAGCCTTCATTTCTCTGGGTCTCCATGGCGAGCACTTCCCTGCCTCCCATGAGCATACTTAGGCTAAACATTATATACAGTGAACTGCTTAGCTAACTAAGGGAAAGGAGTACCTAAGTACCTAAGGTAGAAGACAGTGATATATCCAGGACCCAAGTATGATGGCCGTCATGCAAACACAACTAAGAGACAACCCCTGCCACAGAGATAGCTATCTAAACAGACAAGGCAAACCAAATGAGGAGAAAAAAGAAATATTCTTTTCCTCTTTTCCAACTAAGAAGTTGAGGCAATGGGAGCACATGATTTCCCTGTGATCATAAAGGAAGTCCCTGCAGAGACAGGAACTGAACATTGTGCTCCACCAGCCCAGCCCGTCACCTCCACTGGAGATTGCCCCCCTCCATGCTTAATCAAGCTAGAGTGACTTCTTCTTTGGGCTGTATGGACAAGAGTGTCATTACCTCCATTCATGTGTTATGAAATGATTTGGGGGCAAGGGTTTGACTTTTTAGAACTGGTAGTGAAGTCTCTGGAAAGGAGCATGACCATGCAGCTCAGCAAGGTAGGAAAAGATGCTGAGTTTGGAACTGCGCTAAACTAAAGATGTTCACATTTTTTTATGCCAAGATTTCCATTCCCTGAATAATATTTAAGCATCTCAGCAAGTGCCCAAACTTCCAGAGATGGTCTCAAGGATTTTTGCTCCATTGTAGAAGGCTGATGCAAGTCCTTCCATGACACTGTTAGCTCACAGAGGCTGTATAGAGACAACAGACACCTGGGTGGGCTGCTGAATATCTCCACCATAGAGCTTAGAGGAGGCAAGCAAACTATCTAGGTCAAGGCAAGGGATATGCTGATCAAGTGTGTAGACCAGGTGAAGTGTATGGATAGGCTGGGCATAGTGGTGACCCTTCAAGCCGTGGAACTCAAATAACACCATGGAGGGGCTGCCACAAAATCCTGCAATGTGCAGGAGGGTGGACTCCATCTCTCCAAACCCATGCAGGTCTCCTTCCCCAAGCCTGGGAGCCTGGGTGCAATTAGATGTCACCTTTTGTTGCCTTTGTGCCTCCATAAACATTTTTATGGCAGCAGAAAGTGAAAGCAAATAGATGTTCAAACCCTTTGTCATACTGCAAATGCCCAAATTCGTAGCTGCAACAAAAAGCTGCAATCATTTGCCCTGCCTGATTGCGGTGAACATGTATTTACTTTTTGGTGGGAGACCACGGGCAGCCTGGAGCTGCCCATACTCTCCAGCCTCCCCAGAAATGCCTGCCCAGTTTCCCCACTTCCAGAGATGAGCCCCCAGTGACCTCCAGGGGACATCTCTGGAAGTGGGGAAAGTTGGGCTGGTGCTGCTGCACAGTTTGGTGGAGGTGTGTCCCTGGAAGCAGGGAACACATCACCCATTGTCCTACAAGATCAGCTGGTGGGACAACAGGTGAGATGTGTTTCACCCAGGTAAGAGGACTGTGTGTGCTGGGACACATCTCAACAGAGATGATCTCCTTTATTTGGCGATGTCTAGTTCTAGTCTCTGATTACTGAGGCTTTGTGCAGGTGTGTGATGATTTTCACTTCATCTGCACATCCTTGAATGGTCCTTTTTTGTTTATTGACCCCTGCTTTTCCTCAGTTTAATTTACCATGAAATTTCTCTTAAATGAACAGTCAAAAGTCCAGCAAATTCCTTGCACCTGGAGGTGTAAATCACTCTAATATGTTCTCCCACACAGAGTCTGCCACCACATCCTTATTCCCCCTTAAGTTTGTCTGCTAGAGGAACAGCTTCAATATCAGTACGTAATCCCTCATTCTCCAGACATCAGTAAAGGCATATAACTCTTAAGTGTTTGTATCACTTAAAGAAATGCAGGGTCAGCAACAACTTTGGCAAGCACAATCACTTTTGCATGCAAAGATCAGCGCTTAAAATTAAATCTGACTTTATGTGTTAAAAAAAAGCATTTGTTCCGGTTGTGAGGTGCAAGGAGGATGCTCCTAAAATGAGCAAAGCAAAGGCCCAGCTACCTACATGTGTCTTAGAGTCAGAGGAAGACACTGCTTTCTACTATTTATACAATGTCAAAGATCAAGGAACCCTAATCTCAAACTGATCAGAGCACAGCTTAAATCAAACCATTTTGTTGTGAGGTTGTAGCTTAGATGAAGGTTTAGGGGGAAGGTTTTTGAGGTTCATGGATCTCTAGTCACTTCTGACCAGAGAGAGGATACATAGAAAAGTTCTAGCTTTGGATTTGGGAAGTTATTAAAGGCATTTAAACATAATTCAAGTGCAACAGTAGCTATCCAAACAAGATCATTTTAGCAAGAATGACATTATCGCTCACCCACCAAATTCAAAGACAGCCCCTTTCTCTGCCTTGCGAAACCCCATGAGCCTGCTTTACGATGACACCATGACACGGTTCTGCTTCATAGAAACATTTGTCATGTTTTATTTCCACTGCAGGGTAGGATAAAGACATATATGAAAGCCTTGAGCATTCTTGCTAGATGAAATGATTATCTTCTGGACAGCAATCCCCTGGCCGTAACTGGATCTTTTAGGTTAGGGGTTATTACAATACATTTAACACCTTGATTCAGCAAGGTATGCAAGCATGTCTCGCAGTGTGATTCAAGTTAGGTATGCTCTTATTCATTTTTCTGCTTGTATTCAAATTCTTAGGAGAATTTGAATACAAGCAGAAAAATGAATGAAAATACGATAGCTCTTATAACTGCTATTTAGTCATTGAATACACACACCAGTATAATTTTAATTTTGTGTCTTGAGTCAGGATTACAATTGTGGTCGGGTCCTACTTCAATATAAATAAAGTATAACAGGGCGTGTGCAAGTCTCTCAGCCTAGCAGCATATTTTGCTAGATAGATCCATTGATCTGTGTATCTGCTATCTTCCTGTCTGATGAAATATGATAATACACATACATACACACAAATTATGCGGAGGTGTATATATGTCTGCATGTGTTGCATGTATATATGCATACACACACCTGCACATCTGCAGTTTAAAAAATGTTTTAAGAATTATATGTTGCTTGGCAAGAGAAAACTAATTTATATGTCATAGGTTCTTTAATTGAGACATGCCCTATGAAATGGACTCTTGAAGATAGAAACTTTAGCTTCCAAATATTATACCCTGTAGAGAACATTTTTTCACACCCTCACTTTGAAGATGTTCACATTTCCCCCCAACCTCAGCATACCATTTCTTACGTGAAGATTTAATTATTTCTTGATGTGCATGCTACTTTTCAGTCTTTACACGGATTTTTTTTTTTATATATATATTGCTGCTTGCCGAGTTCTGCACCCCCTGTATGAGAGTCTGGTAGATACCTGAGAAACAAACTGAATGAAGCTTCATTAAAACATTTTCCCTGTCCTCCCTCAGTGACACTTGCATAAAAAAAAAACATTAATAAGAAAATAACAGGAATCTGGAAAACATCAATAAGCTACACTGCTCCTATTGTGCGTTTCATCTGATCTCTCAGTTTCTTCTTTTTTTTTACCACCTAATTGCTTATTTTAGTGGAGTGTTAAAAAGTGGGAACCATTAAAAACCCTCAATTTTGCAATGGATTTTGTGGTTCAAACACACACACACACACAATCACTTCACCCATAGCGTCCACTGCACTTCCCTGATCCAAAGACAAAAGACATGGTGGGGGATCATTCGTTGCCTCCTGTCAAATCTAGGCCATGGCTTTGTTTGCTGCTACAGACAGCACCGAATGAAAATACTTTCCTGTACCATTTGACAACTGACCAAGACGCTTTGCATGATTGAAAGGGACAGTCGCTGAAGCGGACCTGGCACAGGCAGCTCTGGAAAGCCCTTCTTCAGGGACCAGACCGTGTACCTTGACAGGCTTCTGCCAGCAGGTTCAAGGAGCATGAAACTCTCCCGAGTCTAGCCAAGACTGAAGAATGCATCTGTCTGGAGTGAAGGCAGAGACAACGTCCCAGGAGGGGTAAGCTCTGAAGCTGAACTTCCTAGCATCTCTTCCTTGCCTTTACCTCCTCTGGCTTTGCCTCTCCAGTACAGCTGTGAGGTCAGATGTCTGTCTGTCCACTCCCAAATGGGAAAATTGGGAGGGGAGGGGATGTGAAAACAAACAGAAGGGATAGGAAGAAAAGTCTGACTTATAGCAAGCTAGAAGAAAGCTTTCCCTGCTGCCTTGTTTGTTGGGAAGTGCAGCGCCATGCATCCCAAACAGAAGGATATGGCCAAGACAATTTTGTGTAATATCTAGTTGGGTCTGAGATGAGAGAAGAAAAATCCAGGATTTTTTCTGTCCTTTTTTTTTTTTAAATTGTGTCAAAAATTCTTACTGCTTGATAATTACTTA